TGCTCAGCGGGGAGGACGTGCTGGCCGTGCAGAGCCTGTATGGTGAGCCCCCCGCCCCCGGCCCCGCCCTTGCCTGCAGCGCTCGGGCTCCTCAATGGGATCTCCCCTCGTAAGCGCAGGCATCTGGCCTCCCCCATCACGGGTCTTTCCAAATCCTCAGGCTCCTGAGATCTGAAAAACCTCAAACTATTACCCCCTCTCCCCCGTGCTTGCCCTTGATCAACCCCAACGAACTCCTGGGCACAGTCCTGCCCCATCCATCACCCAGACCCAATCCTCAGACTCACCTCTTCCCCACCCCATACGCCAGAGCCCTCATCCCTGCTCCCAGCTGCGATTTCCCTCTAGCCCAGTGGTTCCCCACCTTTTTTTGGCCATGCCCCACCTAAGCATCTCTAAAACCCTGATGCCCACCCACCCCGTGACATATAATTCTTATTATTCAAAAAGTGAACTCCTATTCACGTGGAGGAAGGCCATTAACTTGGTCTAAACTAACTTCCAAAGAACATGGCATCCATGAAAGAGAAACATAAAAGAATGAAAGGACAATTGACATACTGAGGAAGAAATCACTAAGAAATTGTTTTAAAAAAATATGAGGTGATATGAAAAAATAGCAAATAAAGTTTCAAAACATATAATAGAGAACTGAAATGCATAAATATGTCACAATATATATATTTATATACTGTATATAAGGCCCCTAGAACCATAAAATGCAAAAAGTTCATGGTTAATAACTCATTCTTGAATTGTCCCCCTTAAAAATCAAATCACCTCCCCCCCCCCGGGGGACATGTGCCCCACGTTGGGAACCACTGCTCTATCCCCTAACCTTCCCCCTCCTCGACGCCTGGGCTGCCTCCCTCAGAGTGCGTGGTGCGGTGGGCAGGGCCAGGAGCCCTGGGTTCAAGTCTCTGTTCCATTCCTGACTAGCAGTTGTTCTTGAGCAAAGCATTTCCCCCCTGAGAGCCTTCAGTTTTACCTTCTGAGAAAATGGACAATAATTGAGGTCCTGCTTACCTCACAGGGTTGCTGTACTAGTGAGCATGAGCATGCTTTGTAGCCTAAGAAACCTACACAAATGTAATCATAACAGCTGCTATTTCATGAGGGTCTACCATGGACCAGGCACTTAACACACAAAACACACATGAGGTAAGTATCTTTTTGTCCACAGATGAGGAGAACCGGGTAAGAGAGGTTAGGTAACTTGCCCTAGGTCACACAGCTAGGAAGTTGCAGACCAGGATTCAGGAGCTGGTGCCAAATTCTAAGCTGATTGGACTCTGCCTCCCTCTCGGAAGTGAAGTGTCATGATGTAATTATCTTCAGAGCCGTAATTAACACAGCTTGGGCCCCTGGACTCTGCCTGCACGCCATCTGCTTTGTCCAGGACTCAGAGGAGAGTACACGCTGCACTCCTTAGTTCCAAACCCTGGTTTAGTCCCCGCTTCAGTTTTGACTGTGTGATAGGAGCGAGGGCTTCTGAGTTTAGTGCTATGGTTAACACCCACAACCAAAGACAATTCTTCACCCTACCCCTGCTCTCCTTCCCGGCCCCTCACATCAGACAATGATGAAAGGAACCAACGGGGAGGTCTTGGGCCCGCAACACCCTCCTAACCACTGTGTGCTCTTCCCCTCTCCCCTCCCCCATGCAGGGAAGCCCCAGGGGGGCTCTGTGACTACCCAGCTCCCAGGAAAACTGTTCACTGACTTTGAGGCCTGGGACCCCCACAGATCCCAGGGAAGGCGCCCCGAAACCCAAGGTCCTAAATATTGCCACTCTTCCTTTGATGCCATCACTGTAGGTAAGATGGTTCCACCCATGCATTGCTTCCTCTTCCCTCCTCCCCACATTTCAGGGGTCTCCAGAGCTGGAGTTCAAGGGGGAGTATAAATGATAAAATCCAGAAATTCCAGCCACAGGGATTCTGCAAGGTAGCAAGCCCATGCCAAGCAAAACACTACTTTCTCTTTCCGCCCCAACTGTGCCCGCTGCATCCTCTCTGATCAGCTTGGGAGGCTGGGATCTAGGAATGCACCTTCCCTGGAAGGAAGGCAGGAGACGGGTGGTCACTGCTCAACTCTCTCTTGTCTCTCTGGGCAGACAGGCAGCAGCGACTATACATTTTTCAAGGGAGCCACTTCTGGGAGGTGGGAGCTGATGGCAATGTCTCAGAGCCCCACCTGCTGCAGGAAAGGTGGGCCGGGCTGCCCCCCAACATTGAGGCTGCCGCAGTGTCACTGGAGAATGGAGACTTCTACTTCTTCAAAGGTACCAACCCTGGGGCAGATGAGAACATTGAGACCTACAGAGGAAAGATGTCCTGCCCAAGGTCAAAAGCGGGGAGGCACCTCCATTCCAATCCCAACCTGTGGCCTGGGAAACTCTACCAGGAGATTCCTTTAGTGGTGGATTGGGGAGGGCGGTGTCCAGGTTGTTCTAGAGCAGTGATGGCGAACCTTTTGAGCTCAGCATGTCAGCATTTTGAAAAACCCTAACTTAACTCTGGTGCCGTGTCACATATAAAATTTTTTGGATATTTGCAACCATAGTAAAACAAAGACTTATATTTTTGATATTTATTTTATATATTTAAATGCCATTTAACAAAGAAAAATCAACCAAAAAAAATGAGTTCGCGTGTCACCTCTGACAAGCGTGTCATAGGGAACCTTTTGAGCTCGGCGTGTCAGCATTTTGAAAAACCCTAACTTAACTCTGGTGCCGTGTCATATATAGAAATTTTTTGATATTTGCAACCATAGTAAAACAAAGACTTATATTTTTGATATTTATTTTATATATTTAAATGCCATTTAACAAAAAAAAAATCAACCAAAAAAATGAGTTCACGTGTCACCTCTGACACACGTGTCATAGGTTCGCCATCACTGTTCTAGAGGGAGAGGGTGGGAGAATCCCAGAGAAGACTCTAGAGCAAGCATGTCAAACTCCGCAGCCGGCAAGTTTGACATGCTTGCTCTAGGGAAGAGAGGACCACTCCTGAGCTCTGTGATTCTGCAAAGTCCTGCCTTCCTTGGAATCCTGGCTGCAGGAGGTTGGGCATGTCACTTAATTCTTGGAGCTTGAGTTTTTTGAATGGGGAACACAATCCCTCAGGTTTGTTGGGGAAGAAGGATGAAAAGAACATACTGTCTGAGCAGTGTGCAGTATGTTACTTCAGTAAACAGTGTTCATTCATTCATTCATTCATTCAACAAGTATTGAGTGCCTTCTATGGCCTGGACTCGGTTGGAGGCGTTGGGATACAGTCGTGAACAAAACTCCCTGCCCTCCTAGAACTGTTGGGAGTCACGGCAGTGAAGAAAGCCCCGGGCCTTCCCTGGAGCCCAGTCCTCACCCAGGGAGAGCGCCCCCTGCTACCCAGGGAGGGGCTAGACATGTTCCTTTAGCGCTATCTGCCCTCTGCTGACACCTGCTGGAAGCCCAGGCCACAACAGTCCCGCCCCTAGGGTTCATAACCAAATATGAGTATGATCCATTTTATCACAAGTACTAACCACCTTGGGCTCCAACGCAAGAAGGAACAGAGGGACAGGGGGACAGAGTTGGGGTGGAGGCCCAAAGGGTGAGAGCTGCCAGCTCACCCTGGCTCTCCCAATGCCCCGCAGGGAGCCGATGCTGGAGGTTTCGGGGCCCCAAGCCAGTGTGGGGTTCTCTACAGCTGTGCCGGGCAGGAGGCCTGCCTCGCCACCCGGACGCAGCCCTCTTCTTTCCTCCTCTGAGCCGCCTCGTCCTCTTCAAGGGTGCCCGCTACTATGTGCTGGCCCCAGGGGGGCTGCAGGTGGAACCCTACTACCCCCGAGGCCTGCAGGACTGGGGTGGTGTCCCTGAAGAGGTCAGCGGTGCCCTGCCCCAGCCAGACGGCTCCGTCATATTCTTCAGGGATGACCGCTACTGGCACCTGGACCAGACCAAACTGCGGGTGACAGCCTCGGGCCGCTGGGCGGCAGAGCTGCCCTGGATGGGCTGCTGGCATGTGAACTCGGGGGGCGCCTTGTTCTGAAGGCACCCCCACCTCATAGTGAACTTTGGGTGCTCTCGTGGCCAACGTGTGTCCCCTGCCCCAGGGGCAGAGCCTGTCTTGGAAGCCTCTGAGCCCCCCTGCAGAAGACCCAGCAGAGAAGCTGGTCTGCGTTTGTTCCCTGGAGAATGTGGCACTCATCGTCTTGGCGCTGCTCCCCAGGACGTGGAAGTGGGGCCGGGATCAACCCAAGGAGAAGCCAAAAAGGGTCCCAGACTCCACAGCCTTTTCCAAGGACTCTCTCTTCCCTCGGGCCTGGGGGTTTTGTTTTTTCTGCTAAAGGTGCAGGTCCTGTCTATGAGGCAGCAGCATTGGGCAACCAGGGAGGATGCAGATCTCAGTAGAGAGGTTGGGGCCACTTTGCAAGACTGTTGCCTTCCCCTGAGGACCTTCTGGCTCGATTCTTGGAGAACTGTGTCATATTTAACAGAGGCCCCGCCCCCAGAAAGCCTGGATGGGTTGGGTACGAGGGTCTCCCACCTCAAGGCCCTGAGTGGGGTCAGGACCCAGAGCAGGCGGAGACAGATGCAGTGCAGCTCTTTGTGGGAGGCTGGAATAGAGGGGTCCCCGGCTGGTGGGCCTGGAGGCACAAACCAGCCTTCTCTGGAATAGCTTCCAGGGAGAGCAGGTGGGCATGGATGCTGGTGAGGTGGAGGCTGGTCTTTCTTCTGACCAAGCCAGGACCGGCAGGCTGTGTGTGTGTGTGTGTGTGTGTGTGTGTGTGTGTGAGTGAGTGATGGGAAGAGGGAGCCTACCTCTCCTCAAAAAGCTAAATGTCCTTGGCCCCTCCCCTCCCCACTCAGGCCAGATGGAGAAGCCCGTGCGGCTGGGGGAGGGCAGGGGCCTCTCTGGGCGGCCTCACTGCTGCCCGCAGGCACTGGGGGCTCTGCAGGCTGGGGGAGGCTTGTGTTCACAGTGGCTCCATTCTCCAGGCCACACACACAGCATTCCAGGAGCTCCTCCTGGCTGGTCAGGAATAGCTGGGATTCCTACCGAAGGAACCAGCTCCCCCTGGCACTCTGCCTTCGGCCTCAGCCAGCCTCAGGGCTTTAGCGTCTGGCTCTCAGACCCTCCCCCTCCCACCCGCCGCATTTGCACCCACAGGGCCCTCCGCACATTGACCTCAGCCAGACCGGGGCTCCAGGGGACGGGGAGGATGGTTTGGCGAAGTGCAGCCTTCAGCTTCCCACGGGCATTCCTGGCCCTGTGCCTTCATTTTTTCCTCCGCGCAGTGGGGAAAATGACCTTTGACTGCCCTTGGGTGCATGTGTTTTTGCTCCGCCCAGTCCTTGGGGAGGCGGAGGGAGGAGGCTCTACGCCTGCCCTTTTCCCTCCGCTTGAACTTCTGCAGAAGGGAAGGCGGGTCAGCTTCACCATCCTCACCAGGGCCTCCTCGCTCCCGCCTCAAGGCACTGACACTTTGCTTACGGCTTTATTGACTGACTTGAGGGAAAGAGCAGGTTTCTCAGAGGGGGCGGGGAACCCGGAGGTTAGGTTCTCTAGGGGGCGATGCCAGAAGGACCTGCAATACCCAAGAGATGAATGTGAGGCTCTGCCAGGGTGGCCAGCAGGCACTGGGTGATGCCAGGGGGTGGGGGCCCCCAGGGGCACTACGGGAGGAATGGAGCTCCAGGTGACCTGGGGCTCTGCATTGGATGGGCGACAGGTGACTGGTGGCACCGTCACATGGACGGTGGGCCTGTTTGCCTGAGGGGGGCGCTCTGGGAGAGCGGCTCTGAGCAGGGGCAGCTCTGGGATGTGCTGAGCACGCTCAGCGTCAGGGACAGGAGAAAGCTGCGGGGAGTCGGGGGTCAGGAGAGAATGGGGAGCACAGAGGCTTTCAGTGGGGGCCCCCGGCGGCCCCCGCCCCGCCCGAAGCCCGCGCCTCACCCAGATCCGGGTGCTCCAGAATGCAGTGCGCCACGTAGGCCGGGTTGCTGTGCAGGGTCCTGCATTTCTTGCAAAAGAGGATCTCGCAGAGCTCGCAACCCCCGCCGCTCGGTGGCGGCCCCTGGGTCTGCAGCACGCACGGCTCCTCCGGGAGGCTCCCCCTCCTGCGG